CAAAAATTATTGCCCACCCCTGGGTTAGCTGAATAAGGATACCAGGCTCAGTACTGCCTACCTTCTACAGTTTATGTAGCTGAAGTAGGGTTTAACCTGGCCAAGATGCAGAATGGAATAAAAAAGAAAGCAATGCTGTAAAATAAGGAATATGATCAAAGTTCAGCCCATATAGGTATCTTTCAGCATAACCACACAAGATGATGATGACATTTCCATCACAATTTAGGGTTATGAAGTCTTTCACAAATGCTAAGTTGAATAGAAACATTTTAATGAGATTATTTACAAAAAAAAAAAAAACTCCACTGCAAGTGTGTTGAGTAAATATTTCCTGGTGTGTGGTTTGTTTGTGTTTTTTTTTTTTTTTTTTGTCAAACTAAACATTGCATAACTACACCAAACAGTGCACAACCACTGGCAAGGACTCTTGTTTGCCTTGTCCAAGCTGAAAGAGACACAAAAACTGAACAAGCAGCATGACTGAACATTCTTTGATTTAATCGGAAGTGTTACTAGGTAAGGAATGTTAAAAATATATTTAACCCAGCAGTGCTCCAGCAGAGATGATTAAATGCATTTTGTAAAGTTTAACAGCCTTAATTAAAAGCAGTGTGCTCCTGCTCATTAACTGCCTTGCTGGGGATTTGGACACTGCATCACAAAGGGTGCAAGTGCCCAGTGTGGATATCTATTCAGTTGCTGTGTTGTGGGTTCCTGATGCGATTGTGCAGCCTGTCATATGTTATAACCAAAGGGTGAAAGAGAAGGTACAGTCTTTCATCAGGGGAAATATATATTTTGATGTTTTCAGCACTGGTTTTATGCTTATAAGATACCAGTAGAAATACGCCTAAAAGTGACTTCCCTCTTTGCTTTAGGTATATGGGTCTTCCCAGTACGGATGTAAAAGGTTAACCAGTTAACTGGGTTAGGGTGCAGCGGATCTAGCCCGGCCCAAGCAGCTCTTGGGATCCCAGTTAAACGTAACGTTCAGTTGGTTAACTTTTTAAACGTTATTTTGCATCCCTACTTCCCTGCTCTTCCTCTTGGTCTGGGGACTTTGTCAAGCTGCTCCCTGCTTGGGGCAGGAAACCCATGTCTCCTGTGGCTTTCAACTTGCAGTTCTGCTTCTCCAGTTAGTGCCTTGGCTCTGAGGGGGATCAGCAGGGAGGCAGCCTTCTTCTAAAGTCTGTGTTAGGGCTGTAAGCGAGTAGTCAAGTTGTCGACAAACCTAGACTATTCAGCTACTTGCATTCCCCCCCTCCCTTACTGGCTGCCCAGCTCTTACTACATTTAAACTGCAGAGCCACAGCGGGGGTGGCTGGGACTGAACCTGGCGCGAGCTGGGACTGAACGCTTCCTCCCTTATCAACTAATCATGTCGTTGATAGAATTTCTATCTACTACACAATTAGTGAATTACTTGCTTCCTACCAGCTCTCTTTCCGGCTACACTACAAGACTCCTGCTCGTGAGCACTTAGAAAAATAGCAGCACAGGTTTTCCCCAAACACAGACTGTTAGGCTATGTCTACGCTGGCCCCTTTTCCGAAAGGGGCATGCTAATTTTCAACTTCAGAATAGGGAAATCCGTGGGGGATTTAAATATCCCCCGCAGGATTTAAATAAAGATGTCCGCCGCTTTTTTCCGGCTTGGGGAAAAGCCGGAAAAAAGCGTCTAGACTGGCCCGATCCTCCGGAATAAAGCCCTATTCCGGAGGATCTCTTATTCCTACTTCAAAGTGACATGTGAGACACTTTAGGATTCTGAAGGATTCCTTCAAAGTAGGAATAAGAGATCCTCCGGAATAGGGCTTTATTCCGGAGGATCGGGCCACTCTAGACGCTTTTTTCCGGCTTTTCCCCAAGCCGGAAAAAAGCGGCGGACATCTTTATTTAAATCCCGCGGGGGATATTTAAATCCCCCGCGGATTTCCCTATTCTGAAGTTGAAAATTAGCATGCCCCTTTCGGAAAAGGGGCCAGTGTAGACGTAGCCTTATACTTTGACTTTAGCAAGGCTTTTGATACAGTCTCCCACAATATTTTTGCCAGCAAGTTAAGGAAGTATGGATTGAATAAATGGACTGTAAGGTGGATAGATAGCTGGCTAGATTGTCGGGCCTAACGGGTAGTGATCGATGGCTCGATGTCTGGTTCATGGTCAGTGTCAAGCGGACTGCCCCAAGGATCGGTTCTAGGGTTGGTTTTGTTCAACATCTTTATTAATGACCTGGATGAGGGGATAGATTGATTGCACCCTCATTTAGTTTGCAGCTGACACTAAGCTAGGGGGAGAGGTAGATACATTGGAGGGCAGAGAGAGGGTTCAGAGTGACCTAGACCAATTGGAGGATTGAACTAAAAGAAATCTGATTTGAGGTTCAACAAGGACAAGTGCAGAGTCCTGTACTTGGGACGGAAGAATCCCAAGCATTGTTACAGGCTGGGGACTGACTGGCTAAGCAGCAGTTCAGCAGAAAAGGACTTGGGGATTACAGTGAATGGGAAGCTGGTTATGAGTCAACAGTGTGCCCTGGTAGCCAAGAAGGTCAATGGCATATTAGGGTGCATTAGAAGCAGCATTTCCAGCAGAACTAGAGAACCTATTATTCCCCTTTATTCTGCGCTGGTGAGGCCACGTCTGGAGTATTGCGTCTAGTTCTGGGCCTCCCCGCTATAGAAAGGATGTGGATGCACTGGAGAGGGTCCAGCAGAGGGCAACCAAAATGATTAGGAGTCTGGAGAACATGACCTACAGGGAGAGGCTGAGGGATTTGGCCTTATTTAGTCTGCAGAAGAGAAGAGTGAGGGGGGATTTGATAGCAGCCTTCAACTTCCTTAAGGGAGGTTCCAAAGAGGTTGGAGAAAGGCTGCTCTCGGTAGTGACGGATGGCTGAACAAGGAGCAATGGTTTCATGTTACAATGGGGGAGGTCTAGGTTGGATATTAGGAAAAACTATTTCCCTAGGAGAGAGGTGGTTGACTCTCCATCCCTAGAGGTTTTTAAGTCTCAGCTTGACAAAGCCCTGGCTGGGATGATTTAGTTGGGGGTGATCCTGTGTGAGATCCTAGGACTGTTGTGACATATGGTCTGCAGATGGGATCTCTGGGAGCATTGGCTCATGCTTAGGTACCTGTATAACTGGTGAGATTCTGCTGAGTTTGAAGGTTCCATCATGACTAGTTAGCTTGCACCTAAAATCACTTTTTCACCCTGAAACTGCAGGAATCGCTGCAACATGGTTCTTGTACTCTACTCAGTGATCCCCTTCTAGGATGCTGGCCTCTGAACCTGGTGTGCTCCTGTGATGCCGTAATGCCCCATGTTTTATCTGCTGTGCTGTGAAATAGAAGGGCAGCTTGAGGCATCTTGCTTTCTCTCTGTCCTCTCCTGAACTGTAGTCATCTTTGCAGACCCAGAGGGGGATCAGTTGAAAATCACAGAGAAGCTCACCTCTCTCCCTGACCCCCAGATCTATGAGCAGTTGATGGAAATCAAAGTGAGGTATCTTTCTGAGTGACAAAAACAAATGCAGTCAGCTAGGTAGGGGTGCTGTAGCTTGAGGAGCTGAAATAGTGCGATGTTGATTCTATGGGGAGAGGGGAAGCAGAACTTAGGGATATTCATTAAAGATAGTGAGATGGCAGACATCTTGATGGCATATTGCAAAATACAGATGCATGTCTAGCAGCTGTGCTTGTATGGCTGGATGCTTCCCACAAACAGGTGGCAGGTTTGGGGTTTTTTGGGGGTGGGGGGAAGGTACACGCATACTGCCACCTAGAAGCAAAGCTCTGTGAGTGATGCCAGGTGAAGGACGAAGCCGAGCTGCCCTTTTCCCCCTCACCCTTGTCTATTCCTCCATATTTCGCAGAGTTTTTCTTTGCGGTTGGAGTATCTTCTATGTTAAATGAACTGGGTTCATGAACTAAAACCTTTATCATGGCCTTTCATTGCACTTTTCCAAATCTGGAGATACTCAGCTAAACTAGAATTGTTGTGGGATAGAAAGAAACTCAGCTTGAAATCATTTGTCCCCAAAACAAATGAAGGCAGTTTGACATCAGCCACGAAGCCCCATGTGATCTGACATTATCATCTCTGCCATTGCAGTCTTTCTTCCTTGGATACACATTTCTTTCACGTGATTTGTGTGCTCGGGGAGTCTCATTCTCACTGCCTTCTGCCCCTTGAAAACTGTTTATTCTTTGACAGAAAGGTTGCTGGGGTGAATGCAGCTCCTGTCTATTTCCTGTTTCTCTGTCCCCGTCCCCTCCCCCCCAAACTCTTTGCTGCTGCCTTTAGTGAGCTCATGGGGCACCACCAAAGAACTGAGCATATGCTCTTGTTGATGCTATTTCTTGCAAGCCACTTTGCCATGTGAGACACTTTAGGATTCTGAAGTGTCTCTGGGCCCAAGGAGAACTAGTGAGGTAACTCTGTTGCTGAGGCTGGGTTGCCAGACTCTATTCTGAAATAATGGTTTTGAAGATGCAGCATAGATGCTTTGGTTCAAATATTATGGGTTGCTATAGTTACCATCCCTACTGAGATCTGTATGTAATGGATACCTCCTAAGTGATACCCATATGGTCCTTTTGGTAACCCTCTTGTACTGAATGCATTAGGAGCTGTTCATAAACCAAACCCCTGAGCTAGGAAGCATTGGTAAGGAAGAGTTCCTCTCCCTATGCTTCGTTTGTGGAAGAGAGTGATTTCTATCTGAGCTGCCACTCCTTGGCATGACGCTGGCATAGCTACAGTTATTATAATGGAACCCTCCGGCCTTTACTTTAATCTCCCAAGTCCCTCTCAGGCTGGGAATTCCACAGCCCAACTCCATGTCATGAAAGGAAGGCTTTCCTCGTATTTGTTCTACTGTCACCCACTTGCCCTCTCGTATGGATGCCGCTCTGCACTCACTATGCATTCCTTGACATGACTTTTAGATACACCGAGCTTGTTTAGGGGCTAACTAGCTTCTCTTATCCTAGAGTTCTGTCCAGATCACATTTGAAGAGAATCCTCAGCTACCAGCAGCAGTGAATATAAGTCACGTGACCTGCACAGACCAGGCAGACCACAGTATGGTAAGGTGCTGACATTCTGAAGCATGCTGTGCTCTGTATTGTTTCATTGAGTGTTGGTATATATGCTACAAAGATGACTTGGGACTTCAAGACTGGAAGAGTAGATGGGGGACTGGGACTGCTGCCAGGGTTGAGTTGTCAGTGAGTGCTGTTGGGCTCTCAACATCGGGTCCTTACAGTTCAAACCAGAAGGAATCCTGTAAAACTGTGGAGATTCACCTCCTCCCGCCCCCTAGCCATCTTTCAGGAGGGGTGTATCAAAGACTGAAGCAGCAAATTCTTGAGGTAACTATGGTCACACAAGCGCTCTCCAGTCATGAGTATTTGCATCCCCCTGACTTCTGTTTCGCTTTGCTCCCCATTATCTCAAGGAGGCTGCTGCAGACTGTCTGCTCTTTTCTCTCTAGGTGTTGCACTGCCATCTGTCAGCTAATGCTGTGAAGTTCCCAGTGTCTGTCACTCAGCAGTCTCCAGCTGCTGTTTCCATGGATACCTATCAAGTCACCTTAGCTCTGCTGCAGGCCCAGGTAATGAATGCTAGTGTGCTGGGTTAAAGACCTCTCTTTCCTGCAAAATGTGAAAGAGTGCTGTGACCTATCTGTGTTACAAACAAAGCATTTTCTTGTCAATGTGAAAAGAAATCATAATTGGGGAACTGTGTGTTTAGGACTGTTGATCCAGGGTTCCTTACCTCACTCCTAAGTTTCTCCCTTTTGATTGTTTCATGTATTGAGTATCTCCAAACTTTTTCCTTTTTAATCCCAAGTTAATTTAAAAGAAAAATAACTGCCAATAGTTTCTTGCTGAGTTGATTGTTTGAACCTTCTGGAAAACCTCCAACATCTGCACTTCTGAAGAAAACATTGTTGTTGGGAATGCATTCTCAGTGAGACTGTGGTTTACTGGGACTGAGGAATGCACCAGAGCAGCCTTCTGTGTTGAAATTACAGGTTCAAATCCAGCCTACCTTGTAGTTGTCCATTTACAGGCTATTTGATGGCCCAGTTGGTTCTCAATGTAGTTCCTATTAGAAAGTTGTCATTATGTAAATGTCCATGCTTACAACTGGCAATGGTTGGCTGATTGAATTCAGTGGAGACCCTGTATTAATAGCCAATTTGTTCTTTATTGTGTCCTCTTCCAGGCTTTCTGTTCAATCTGTGAAATAATGAGATGTATTATATAGTCTTATTCTCTTTTTACCAATCTCTGTACTTAACACAAAGGGGAGAAAACAGGATGACTGTTGCTGATCTTTGAGACTAAGGTTTTCTGGGATTGTTCTTATTACTCTGTCTGTCGTGCTGCTATACCATAGGCAAACTCTGATTATGAACTATCTGTCACAGATTCTGATGTTCCTCTTTGCCCTTTCACCCTACTAGGTTACATGAGGCCCTGTTGGTGATTTAATCCCAGATCAATGAACAGAGCACCTAATAACAAGTTGATTGCTAATTATCCTCTTTTGGCCTGAACCAGGTGGAGATCCGTTTGGAGGAGATGAAGAATGAAGGCCTGTTGGTGTCATGGACATTCAAGGACAGACCAGACTTGAACCTTTCTGTTGTCCCAAAACTTCATCCTCGTGAAGTGAGCAAAACTGGAGGATCAAGGAAGGGGCTGGGTACAGGCATGGTCAGCTGAACCTAGTACTTGGTCGTAACTTGGGAAAGGCGAGGAGCCATAAGGTCTTTCACCTCTATAGCCATGTCTATATAAGTATCTTTTTACAGGCAGTCCCCGGGTTACGTACAAGATGGGGACTGTAGGTTTGTTCTTAAGTTGAATCTGTATGTAAGTCGGAACTGGCGTCCAGATTCAGCCGCTGCTGAAACTGACCACCAGTTCTGACTTACATACAGAATCAACTTAAGAACCCCAAGCGTCCCCAAGTCAGCTGCTGCTGAAACTGATCAGCAGCTGATTCCAGGAAGCCCGGGGCAGAGCAACTCTGCCTCGGGCTT